GTTATTTTGTTTGCTCGCCAGCTCGCAGTGTTATTTTGTTTGCTCGCTGACTCGTAGTGTTATTTTGTTTGCTCGCTGGCTCGTAGTGTTATTTTGTTTGCTCGCCGGCTCGGAGTGCTATTTTGTTTGCTTGCCGGCTCAGGGTGTTATTTTGTTTGCTCACTGACTCGTAGTGTTATTTTTGTTTGCTCGCCAGCTCGTAGTGTTATTTTGTTTGCTCGCCGGCTCGTATTGTTATTTTGTTTGCTCGCTAGCTCGTACTGTTATTTTGTTTGCTCGCCAGCTCGCAGTGTTATTTTGTTTGCTCGCCAGCTCGCAGTGTTATTTTGTTTGCTCGCTGACTCGTAGTGTTATTTTGTTTGCTCACTGGCTAGTAGTGTTATTTTGTTTGCTCGCCAGCTCAGAGTGTTATTTTGTTTGCTCTCCAGCTCGTAGTGTTATTTTGTAGTGTTTCGTAGTGTTATTTTGTTTGCTCACTGGCTCGTAGTGTTATTTTGTTTGCTCACTGGCTCGTAGTGTTATTTTGCTTGCTCGCCAGCTCAGAGTGTTATTTTGTTTGCTCGCCAGCTCGTAGTGTTATTTTGTAGTGTTTCGTAGTGTTATTTTGTTTGCTTGCCGGCTCAGGGTGTTATTTTGTTTGCACACTGACTCGTAGTGTTATTTTGTTTGCTCGCCAGCTCGTAGTGTTATTTTGTTTGCTCACCGGCTCAGATTGTTATTTTGTTTGCTCGCTAGCTCGTACTGTTATTTTGTTTGCTCGCCAGCTCGCAGTGTTATTTTGTTTGCTCGCTGACTCGTAGTGTTATTTTGTTTGCTCACTGGCTAGTAGTGTTATTTTGTTTGCTCGCCAGCTCAGAGTGTTATTTTGTTTGCTCGCCAGCTCGTAGTGTTATTTTGTAGTGTTTCGTAGTGTTATTTTGTTTGCTCACTGGCTCGTAGTGTTATTTTGTTTGCTCACTGGCTCGTAGTGTTATTTTGCTTGCTCGCCAGCTCAGAGTGTTATTTTGTTTGCTCGCCAGCTCGTAGTGTTATTTTGTTTGCTTGCCGGCTCAGGGTGTTATTTTGTTTGCACACTGACTCGTAGTGTTATTTTGTTTGCTCGCCAGCTCGTAGTGTTATTTTGTTTGCTCACCGGCTCAGAGTGTTATTTTGTTTGCTCGCTAGCTCGTAGTGTTATTTTGTTTGCTAGCCAGCTCGTAGTGTTTTTTTGTTTGCTCGCTGGCTCGTAGTGTTATTTTGTTTGCTCGCCGGCTCGGAGTGTTATTTTGTTTTCTTGCCGGCTCAAGGTGTTATTTTGTTTGCACACTGACTCGTAGTGTTATTTTGTTTGCTCGCCAGCTCGTAGTGTTATTTTGTTTGCTCACCGGCTCAGATTGTTATTTTGTTTGCTCGCTAGCTCGTAGTGTTATTTTGTTTGCTAGCCAGCTCGTAGTGTTTTTTTGTTTGCTCGCCGGCTCGTACTGTTATTTTGTTTGCTCGCCAGCTCGCAGTGTTATTTTGTTTGCTCGCTGACTCATAGTGTTATTTTGTTTGCTAGCCAGCTCGTAGTGTTTTTTTGTTTGCTCGCTGGCTCGTAGTGTTATTTTGTTTGCTCGCCGGCTCGGAGTGTTATTTTGTTTTCTTGCCGGCTCAAGGTGTTATTTTGTTTGCACACTGACTCGTAGTGTTATTTTGTTTGCTCGCCAGCTCGTAGTGTTATTTTGTTTGCTCACCGGCTCAGATTGTTATTTTGTTTGCTCGCTAGCTCGTAGTGTTATTTTGTTTGCTAGCCAGCTCGTAGTGTTTTTTTGTTTGCTCGCCGGCTCGTACTGTTATTTTGTTTGCTCGCCAGCTCGCAGTGTTATTTTGTTTGCTCGCTGACTCGTAGTGTTATTTTGTTTGCTCGCCAGCTCGTAGTGTTATTTTGTTTGCTCACCAGCTCGTAGTGTTTTTTTTGTTTGCTCGCCGGCTCATACTGTTATTTTGTTTGCTCACCGGCTCAGAGTGTTATTTTGTTTGCTCGCCAGCTCGTAGTGTTTTTTTTGTTTGCTCGCCGGCTCGTACTGTTATTTTGTTTGCTCACCGGCTCAGAGTGTTGTTTTGTTTGCTAGCCAGCTCGTAGTGTTACTTTGCTTTGTCGCCAGCTCGTAGTGTTATTTTTTTTTGCTTGCCAGCTCTAGTGTTGTTTTTTTTGCTTGCCAGCTCGTAGTGTTATTTTGTTTGCTCGCTGGCTCGGAGTGTTTGAAACGGCTACCCAGGTTGTAGAGGGGTATTAGCCGTTGGAGACGTCCTTCTTCCTGGCAAGATGCTGTGCTGTAGTGGAGTTGCGCTATTCCATCTGCTGAATCTGAGTAGAGAGTAAAGCAGAGCTCTTAAAAGAGCTACTGATTATGCTGAGCAGATTCCCTTTTAATAACGAGACGAGGCTACATTTTGAAGGGTGAAGTAGAACTGTTTTAATGACCACACAAGCAGCTGCTTTTATGCAGGTTTTACAGTAAGGTTGCCACCCACGTGGACCTTGTGGGGCACTGACAATGGGAATGCAACATCCAATCAGTTACAATTGTACAGTAAAAGCACACCCATGAATTACAGTACATTCCTCCCCTCTGCTTAGGAGATAATTGAGTTAATCGTTATATCAGCTCAATTATCTCCAAGCTAAAAAATATACTTTTCCACATTTTTCATAACTTTAAAACTATGCATAGGATTTTAACAAAAGTTACATTTTAATAACCAATACATTCAGGGAAACAACATATCCAGAAATGGAACAAACAGGCCCAGTGTTTTTCACTAATAGTGAAAAGGTGGATGTGACCAACCACTCACACATTTCTCTGCCCAGAATAGTTCCACAGTTTCAGTCTCTGCAGTCGGACTATTACCCCTTTGTAATAAGTCTAAAATGCACGAACGGAATTGTTTGTGCCTGACATCACTGGATCTAGTTTGTTCGGATGAACAAACTAACGAATTAGCGCTTTGTTCGTATGAGTCTAGTCGAACGCACAGAAGGTAGAAGTTCAGCGGTGTTCGTGAAAATAGGTAGCCAAAAACAGTTCCACCGGTCGACGACCAAACACCGCTGAGTGCGTTCGACTAAACAAAATGGCCGCTGCCACGTGTTTGCACATATGAACGCTGACTCGGTTAATCCATTGGAACGTTGAGGTATTTGTGGTTTATAACAGGTCAAGCGGGTTAATTGCTGGCACACTCCTGCTCTGGGTGGTCGGTCGTTCGACAAAAAATATGGTATTCGAACAGCTAAGGCCAAATGCACGATTAGTCACTTTGGGGAATGCAAATACACGAACAGTGTTCTCGGTGATAGGAAGCAATGTTAATGACTGTAAGGAAAAGGTTTTGGGTACCCCGTTGGGCTAAGGTTCCCAGGAAATACTGTAGATTCTGTTACAGTGTTATTTTGCTTGCTCGCCAGCTCGTAGTGTTATTTTTTTTTGCTCGCCAGCTCGTAGTGTTATTTTGTTTGCACGCTGACTCGTAGTGGTATTTTGTTTGCTCGCCAGCTCAGAGTGTTATTTTGCTTGCTCGCCAGCTCGTAGTGTTATTTTGTTTGCTCAACAGCTCGTAGTGTTATTTTGCTTGCTCACCGGCTCAGAGTGTTATTTTGCTTGCTCGCCAGCTCGTAGTGTTATTTTGTATGCTCTCCAGCTTTGCATTGCATGCTAGTTTAGTTTATAGATTTGCCTTGCTGGCACATCTCCTGCAAGTCTGTGATAGGAAATTTGAGTTTATATGTGACATTACCTTTTTGATTACTTTTTTCCAATTTCCAGCTTTACTTAGAGAATAATCAAGGTCGGCAGAACCTGCATGCCGAGTTAGCACAGTTATCTTCTATAGTGCGCAGTGAGAGCGTTATATTCTGCGAAATGGAACAGCTTTATAAATAGAATCGCGTTTTTCTTATTACCGCGTACAGTATTTTGCCAATTGCTGTGTCTTGGCCCTCATACAGAGCCGCAGTGGTTCCCTCCTCTCTCTGCTCTGGGAATAGGCTTCTGCGGTGTCGGTTACACTGTGTTTCAGCTCTTGTGGTTTTTCTTATCATATTTTCTTGTTAATCAATGTCCTTGGGTAAGAGGTTGCTATGGTAACCAGCTATCTAATTCAAATTGGGCCAGTGGCCATGATATTCTCACAGGCTGCAGGTTAACCTGCGATGGCGGCCCTTGGTCCACGTTACCTGGGACACGGCTATGCACCGTGCCATGTCTTGGATTTAACTCTGTATGAGCCAAACAGTGAAAGGGACAGGCGTGACACGTCCATTAATAAAACTGTCATTAACATCAAAATGCTGCTTACTCAGAATGGAGCAATCGCTACAGAAAGTGCTGGAATGCTGCATTGCTCGTCATAAACCGCCCTGCGCTCCCCGTGATCCCACTCGGCTGCATGCGGAGATCTGTCTGCACAGAAATCACCGTCCAGTGAGGCACTAAATAGCACCTACCCCAAGCAGAGCCAGCAGCTCGCCCATGGAGGACCCACCGTATAGACACCCAGTAAAGCCCCACCGCCAACAGCCAGTCCAATCCAGGGAAATAAGGAAATCTCCCAGCACAAACCTTGTACAAAAAAGGTGTCTCTTTATGGAACGGACAAATCAAATGGCCTCTAAGAGGTTTGGATTATTGTTATTATTATTTTTATAGCACCCACATATTCTGCTGCGCTGTATAACAGGTGGACTAACAGACACGTATTTGTAACCAGACAACTTGGAGGCACATGAACAGAGGGATTGAGGCCCTGCTCAAAGAGCTCACATTCTAGATAGACTGTTAGTGGCCGTAACGTCACCCCTTTGATTTGGCGCTTCCCCCGTGCTGTCAGCTTTGTGCTGGAAGATTGTCTTATTTCTACCCTAAACACACACGGTTCCTGCAACAAGATACCCAACGCCCATTATACCCTCTAATTGCTTGAAAGCAGAGCTTGTTCAATCTCGAGACAGAGTTTGTTCAATCTCGCTATTTTGGCCTTAAATTTGAAATTCACTTTGAATTCTCACGTTAGTAAATAACCGTGATAGTCTTTATTATAGAAACAGATAACCTGTTACTGTCTGCAGGCAGTTAGTGCCTATTAACACCATACCTCCCAAGTGTCCCTATTTTGGATGACAGTCACTATATTCTACCCAATTCCCTCTTTCTTTCCTAATTTCCCTCTATTTTAGGAGCTTCATATTGTTGGTGTGTCTGAGTGTATAACAGAGCTCCACTGCAATAATACTTCCAGTAATGTGTCAGAGTGTATAACAGAGCTCCACAGCAATAATACTCCCAGTAATATGTCTGAGTGTATAACAGAGCTCCACAGCAATAATACTCCCAGTAATGTGTCTGAGTGTATAACAGAGCTCCACAGCAATAATACTCCCAGTAATGTGTCTGAGTGTATAACAGAGCTCCACAGCAATAATACTCCCAGTAATGTGTCTGAGTGTATAACAGAGCTCCACAGCAATAATACTCCCAGTAATGTGTCTGAGTGTATAACAGAGCCCCACAGCAATAATACTTCCAGTAATGTGTCTGAGTGTATAACAGAGCTCCACTGCAATAATACTTCCAGTTATGTGTTTGAGTGTATAACAGAGCTCCACATCAATAATACTCCCAGTAATGTGTCTGAGTGTATAACAGACCCCCACAGCAATAATACTCACAGTAATGTATCTGAGTGTATAACATAGCTCCACAGCAATAATACTCCCAGTAATGTGTCTGAGTGTATAACAGAGCTCCACAGCAATAATACTCCCAGTAATGTGTCTGAGTGTATAACAGAGCTCCACAGCAATAATACTCCCAGTAATGTGTGAGTGTATAACAGAGCTCCACAGCAATAATACTCCCAGTAATGTGTCTGAGTGTATAACAGAGCTCCACAGCAATAATACTCCCAGTAATGTGTCTGAGTGTATAACTGAGCTCCACATCAATAATACTCCCAGTAATGTGTCTGAGTGTATAACAGAGCTCCACAGTAATAATATTCCCAGTAATATGTCTTGGTGTATAACAGAGCTCAACAGCAACAATACTCCCAGTAATGTATCTGAGTGTATAACATAGCTCCACAGTAATAATACTCCCAGTAATGTGTCTGAGTGTATAACAGAGCTCCACAGCAATAATACTCCCAGTAATGTGTCTGAGTGTATAACAGTGCTCCACAGCAATAATACTCCCAGTAATGTGTCTGAGTGTATAACAGGGCTCCACAGCAATAATACTCCCAGTAATGTGTCTGAGTGTATAACAGAGCTCCACAGCAATAATACTCCCAGTAATGTGTCTGAGTGTATAACAGAGCTCCACAGCAATAATACTCCCAGTAATGTGTCTGAGTGTATAACAGAGCCCACAGCAATAATACTCCCAGTAATGTGTCTGAGTGTATAACAGAGCTCCACAGCAATAATACTCCCAGTAATGTGTCTGACTGTATAACAGAGCTCCACAGCAATAATACTCCCAGTAATGTATCTGAGTGTATAACAGAGCTCCACAGCAATAATACTCACAGTAATGTATCTGAGTGTATAACAGAGCTCCCTGGCAATAATACTCCCAGTAATGTGTCTGAGTGTATAACAGACCTTCACAGTAATAATACTCCCAGTAATGTGTCTGAGTGTATAACAGAGCTCCACAGCAATAATACTCCCAGTAATGTGTCTGAGTGTATAACAGAGCTTCACAGCAATAATACTCCCAATGTGTGTCTGAGTGTATAACACAGCTCCACAGCAATAATACCTCCAGTAATGTGTCTGAGTGTATAACAGAGCTCCACAGCAATAATACTCCCAGTAATGTGTCTGAGTGTATAACAGAGCTCCACAGCAATAATACCTCCAGTAATGTGTCAGAGTGTATAACAGAGCTCCACAGCAATAATACTCCCAGTAATGTGTCTGAGTGTATAACAGAGCTCCACAGCAATAATAATTCCAGTAATGTGTCTGAGTGTATAACAGAGCTCCACAACAATAATAATTCCAAAGAACGCATTGTCTGGAGTGTAAAATGAGCCCACAGCAATAATATTCCCAGTAACGCGGTCTGAGTGTATAACAGAGCTCTTCACACACACACCCCAGTAAAGTGTCCGGAAAGTGTGTATACCAGAGCCCACAGCACACATTCCAGTAATGTAGTCTGAGGTGCTACCAGGGTTCCCCGCACACACACCCCAGTAACGTGTCTGAGTGTATAACAGAGCTCCACTGCAATAATACTCCCAGTAACTGTGTCTGAGTGTATAACAGAGCTCCACTGCAATAATACTCCCAGTAATGTATCAGAGTGTATAACAGAGCTTCACAGCAATAATACTCCCAGTAACGTGTCTGAGTGTATAAGAGAGCTCCACTGCAATAATACTCCCAGTAACGTGTCTGAGTGTATAACACAGCTCCACAGCAATAATACTCCCAGTAATGTGTCTGAATGTATAACATAGCTCCACAGCAATCATACTCCCAGTAATGTGTCTGAGTGTATAACAGGGCTCCCCGGCAATAATACTCCCAGTAACGTGTCTGAGTGTATAACAGAGCTCCACTGCAATAATACTCCCAGTAACTGTGTCTGAGTGTATAACAGAGCTCCACTGCAATAATACTCCCAGTAATGTATCAGAGTGTATAACAGAGCTTCACAGCAATAATACTCTCAGTAATGTGTGAGAGTGTATAACAGAGCTTCACAGCAATAATACTCCCAGTAATGTGTCAGAGTGTATAACAGAGCTCCACAGTAATAATACTCCCAGTAATGTGTCCGAGTGTATAACAGAGCTCCACAGCAATAATACTCCCAGTAACTGTGTCTGAGTGTATAACAGAGCTCCACAGCAATAATACTCCCAGTAATGTGTCCGAGTGTATAACAGAGCTCCACAGCAATAATACTCCCAGTAATGTGTCTGAGTGTATAACAGAGCTCCACAGCAATAATAATTCCAGTAATGTGTCTGAGTGTATAACAGAGCTCCACAACAATAATACTCCCAGTAATGTGTCTGAGTGCATAACAGAGCTCCACAGCAATAATACTCCCAGTAATGTGTCTGAGTGTATAACAGAGCTCCACAGCAATAATACTCCCAGTAATGTGTCTGAGTGCATAACAGAGCCCCACAGCAATAATACTCCCAATAATGTGTCTGCCTGTATAACAGAGCTCCACAGCAATAATACTCCCAGTAATGTGTCCGAGTGTATAACAGAGCTCCACAGCAGTAATAATACTCCCAGTAATGTGTCTGAGTGTATAACAGAGCTCCACAGTAATAATACTCCCAGTAATGTGTCTGAGTGTAAAACAGAGCTACACAGCAATAATACTCCCAGTAATGTGTCTGTGTATAACAGAGCTCCACAGCAATAATACTCCCAGTAATGTGTCTGAGTGTATAACAGAGCTCCACAGCAATAATACTCCCAGTAATGTGTCTGAGTGTATAACAGAGCTCCACAGCAATAATACTCCCAGTAATGTGTCTGAGTGTATAACAGAGCTCCACAGCAATAATACTCCCAGTAATGTGTCTGATTGTATAACAGAGCTCCACAGCAATAATACTCCAGTAATGTGTCTGAGTGTAAAACAGAGCCCCACAGCAATAATACTCCAGTAATGTGTCTGAGTGTATACAGAGCCCCACAGCAGTAATGTGTCTGAGTGTATAACAGAGCTCCACATCAATAATACTCCCAGTAATGTGTCTGAGTGTGTAACAGAGCTTCACAGCAATAATACTCCCAGTAATGTGTCTGAGTGTATAATAGAGCTCCACAGCAATAATACTCCCAGTAATTTGTCTGAGTGTATAACAGAGCTCCACAGCAATAACACTCCCAGTAATGTGTATGTGTGTATAACAGAGCTCCACAGCAATAATACTCCTGGGTGTCAACCTTGTGGGGAGCTGTGTATAACAGAGCTCCACAGCAATAATACTCCCAGTAATGTGTCTGAGTGTATAACAGAGCTCCACAGTAATAATACTCCCAGTAATGTGTCTGAGTGTATAACAGAGCTCCACAGCGATAATACTCCCAGTAATGTGTCTGTGTATAACAGAGCTCCGCAGCAATAATACTCCCAGTAATGTGTCTGAGTGTATAACAGAGCTCCACAGTAATAATACTGCCAGTAATGTGTCTGAGTGTATAACAGAGCTCCACAGCAATAATACTCCCAGTAATGTGTCTGAGTGTATAACAGAGCTCCACAGTAATAATACTCCCAGTAATGTGTCTGAGTGTATAACAGAGCCCACAGCAATAATACTCCCAGTAATGTGTCTGAGTGTATAACAGAGCTCCACAGCAATAATACTCCCAGTAATGTGTCTGTATAACAGAGCTCCACAGCAATAATACTCCCAGTAATGTGTCTGAGTGTATAACAGAGCTCCACAGCAATAATACTCCCAGTAATGTGTCTGAGTGTATAACAGAGCTCCACAGCAATAATACTCCCAGTAATGTGTCTGAGTGTATAACAGAGCTCACAGCAATAATACTCCCAGTAATGTGTCTGAGTGTATAACAGAGCTCCACAGCAATAATACTCCCAGTAATGTGTCTGTGTATAACAGAGCTCCACAGCAATAATACTCCCAGTAATGTGTCTGAGTGTATAACAGAGCCCCACAGCAATAATACTCCCAGTAATGTGTTATAACAGAGCTCCACAACAATAATACTCCCAGTAATGTGTCTGTGTATAACAGAGCTCCACAGCAATAATACTCCCAGTAATGTGCCTGAGTGTATAACAGAGCCCCACAGTAATAATACTCCCAGTAATGTGTCTGAGTGTATAACAGAGCTCCACAGCAATAATACTCCCAGTAATGTGTCTGTGTATAACAGAGCTCCACAGCAATAATACTCCCAGTAATGTGTCTGAGTGTATAACAGAGCTCCACAGGAATAATACTCCCAGTAATGTGTCTGAGTGTATAACAGAGCTCCACAGTAATAATACTCCCAGTAATATGTCTTTAAACTACAATAAATGTGTTTATTAATCAGTCGGTGTAAATAAGACACATTGTTCTTGTTATAAATTACATTTAATTCTATAAATTTTTATTAGTAAGTCAGAACAGACTGCCCCTGCCCACTTCCTCACTCACCCCCCTAAAATTAAAGGGTCCCTCTTTGTCCATGGGAAATGTGAGACTGTATGTAAGAGCACTTTGCAGAAATCACACATTTATAATCCATCCCCGTTTCTGATAGACATCACTGGAGGAATCGATGAGTTCATCTCTGCATGTACACCTATGTTGACATATACTAAGTGTCTGCTGTACAGCTTACTGTAAGGTCACATCTAAACCTTCATTCATTGACACCAAGAAAGTACTAACGAGAACACTGACACTGGCCATTAATTCAACAGCCTCCATGGGGGCTGAATTAGCGGTGTGAACAAGATAAAATATTAATTTAGAGGGTGGGCGCATGTATAGTATTAACGTAAGAGCAAATAATTTTTCTGTTTTCCTCACTCGGTATGTCTGTCTGTGACATGTCTTGATTCCCCTACTACCTCTGATGGAATCCTGTGCCACGCGTCCACTACCTTTTCATCGCCCTGTGCATGTAGGCTGCTGCAGATAAACTCTCATAAGATTTAATTACCATTTGTCACCAGGTATTACTGCAGACGCTAGGGACGAGTAGACGAATTGGTGGTGACATTTTCAGGAGGAGAGCTTGAATATAAAAGCACTCTTTAAACACTTCATTTTTAGTACAATCTCTGCCTGCTTTGTAAAGTAGGGTACATTGTTACCATGGAAACCTTCTTCACTGGTGGGATGCCTGAGACAGGGATGACATAGCTGCAACTCTGCTGCTGACTGAGAGTATTGGGAGTTTTGAATCCGATATACAGACTGGCCATTTCAACCCTCAGACACACAGACCTTAATGGACAGATTTAAACCATAAACTCACACTTCATTTTCAGACAATGTTATCAGGCTTCGATCGGAAACAGGAAAACCTGCAAACTTGTTTTGATAAAGTGAACATTTTCCTAACGTCCAGGATTTTTGTAATAAAAACAGTTCTTAACTTTAATTCACATATTCACACAGTTAGTTGTGACGCAAAATTCTCATATCATTAACACACAGAATGTGCAAAGTTGCCCATAAAACATCCATATCGTCTATCGTCTTACCGTCTTGAATAAAGTAAAAGACTCCCACCCGCCATACCCTGCAAGGCCCCATCCCCAACGGTAAGGCTTACCATCCTTGCGGTAGAAGGAAATCTCCACCTTACGCTCCTCGGATCCCACCAGAGCCTGGGCGATTTGAGACACAGCGCTGGAGGTGGTACGCGGTCCGTACAGGAAATCACAGGTACACGGCCTCTGCATGACCTCAGCCCGTGTATACCCACACATGGTACAGAAGCCATCGTTACAGTAAATGACTGCGCAGTTTTCCACACGGGCATTGGCGATGATGAATTTGCGGCCTGTGCACACACAAAATAAAAAGAGTTATGTTAAAGATTTAAGGCGTTTATGATGCATTATTTATATTGAAATGCTTTCCATTTAAAAAGGAGATTGTAGAACATTATCCCGACATAGCAAGCACCCAAGCTGGGCGACCGGGCCCTGTAATATCTGCAGCCGGGGTGCAAGTGAGAGCCGGTCACTTCATCCCAAATACATGTATACATGGGAGGGATACAGGGAGAGCAAGGAGAATGAGTCGGTCACTTCATCCCAGATACATGTATACATGGGAGGGATACAGGGAGAGCAAGGAGAGTGAGTCGGTCACTTCATCCCAGATACATGTATACATGGGAGGGATATGGTGGGGAGCAAGGATGGAGAGCCGGTCACTTCATCCCAGATACATGTTGTAGCAGAATGGACCCTGCTATCCTAATTTATACCAACTCTGGGCTGTCCGTATACCCTTTGTTTTTCCCCTCCTTGACCCCCTGTGTGAGAAAGTAACCCTAATTGTGCGAGACTCACTCCCCTGTTTCGCCTGGCCGTTCGTCAAAATCCATTCCCTTAAGTGGTTCCCATGGTTTTGTACAACTACCGAACGGAGTGTGCCGCTCATTAACTCCATTCACACCTCCACAAACCGCAACCATGTTCTAAGCCGTCAGCTAGATGGTCGCCGTTCGTATAGATGGACACATGGCACGGGCCATCTTGGAACACGTACAAAGGCAGCGATGTTTGGTCATTGGTTGCATGGAACTAAAATCGGACACTCAACGGCGCGAACGCCACTAGGACTTCCACCTCCATCAAAGTTCACCTAAAAGTGCATGAACAGTGCACTATTCGGTAAAATTTACACATTATTTGACTTAGAAGATAGACCGGCCACACAGCCTAATTCTCAGCAACTCTTTTGGGCATGAAAGTAAGCGTGCGGTCGGTCAAATGTGACTTCCATAGAATTCGTGAACTCCTGCTCTGATCTGGGTATTTTTTGGATATGTTGTTTACCCAGATCAGGGCTATACAGGGATGTGCCATTCATGGGGATATGTCATGTTTTGGGGGTACTTCTAGAAAATGTGAAATATGTGTTTTTCTTGCCTGGATATAATTGAGTTATTACATTATCTACCTCAATTATCTACCAGGCAGAGGGGAGGGCTTGCACATACTGTATGGGAGTGTCTCTATGTATAACCCTGTTTCATTGGTCTGTGAACTTTGTATTTCGGTGCCCCCACAAGGTCCACCTGGGTGTCAACCTTGTGGGGAAAATCACATAAAAGGCAGAGTCCCAGCATTAAAAGTCAGTTATTCCCCCAAAACTGAGTGTCGTCCAGTTACTGGGGAGGTGTTGGGAGAATCTGTATTGCTTTGCTGTGTTTAGCTGTTCCTGTGGATTACCTTCCTTGTTCCTGAGTCATCTTGGAGAAAACCAGCGGAAAAAGGTCCCTGCTAAGACTAGCGCTCCGCTACACATGTATACTTGGGAGGGATATGGTGGGGAGCAAGGAGAGTTAGCTGCTCAAGACCCACATCTTATCAACTTCAGCTAACAGCAGGACCCAGAGCAAGCCGGCGTGTATGAGGTATATTAACATGAGGGTGGCTAAAAATGATAACATGTATGTGTGTATTTACTTATCTATTTGTCAGTGTGTGTGTGTGTGTGTGTGTGTGTATGTGTATGTGTACCTGAGTGTGTGCATATGGGTGTATGTGTCAGTATGTCAGTGTGTGTATGTGTCAGTGTTTGTGTGTAGGTGTCATTGTGTGTATCTGAGTGTGTGTGAATGTGTCAGTGTGTTTATATATGTGTGTCAGTATATGATAATGTATCTATATCTATGTGCATACATTCCAGCAACTAAACACACTCCTACATTAAAACTCAATAATTATGTACAAACACCCCTTTGTTCAAACACCAACACTACACACAAAAGCAAACCAGCATTTAAAAGCCAACACTACATATTAACACATTGCTGCAATCAAACAATGCATACAAGTAGAGGGTAGTGGATGCATGGAATAGCCTTCCAGCTGAAGTGGTAGAGGTTAACACAGTACAGGAGTTTAAGCATGCATGGTGTGACAAACTGCCCTTTGCCCCTGGATTTTGGAGAAGCCTGATTGCCAGCCTTCTGCCTTATGACTATGGCCCTGGGGTGTATTTTCCTTTAAGAACAATGTCCCTTTTTAAACTGTGTCCCTAGACTGTAAAAATCCTTTTTCCCATTTGGTTTAGTAAATGGGGTTACCGAACAAAATACCGAACAAGCGGACCACACACAAGTGGAGTGTGCAGCTAATTTATCTCCCAGGCTGGTGGTTAACCGCAAGCCAATTGTCGAACGGCTGGGTGGTGTGGGGATATTTATGGGATAATAATAGTAAACAGTTGAGAATTGCCCACTAATTCAATTCTCAGATCCCAAAGAACGTTTATCGTGTTAAGTGGAATGTATTTCATATAATAATATCACAATGTATAAAAATAGATTTTTATTTATAATGACAAATTAATAATAATATTATGCAACATGCATGACAATAATCAATGAATATCCAGTATAAATTGGTATGCAATACAAAGAAATGGGTATTACGTTTCAATGGCTAAATAGCATTTCCTGTCAAGAATTATTTATGACTATCTTTAACACAGACTGAAAGTGAAACTTTTCACAGCGAAGAACAGAATTCCTCAGAGTGCAGCGTAAGGTCGTAAAGTTTAGCTGACAGTTAGAATAACCCTTTCAATGCTGGCTAGATCTCCTAGGTAGTTAAGATCTATTCTTATGTCATTTTTAAATAAAATAACATTTAACCCAGTTCATTAGTCATTTCCTGAAACCATCCAATAAGAGAATCTACCATATTATATAAGCAGATTTTTAATTTGTGTAAAAGATATCTATCTTAATTTAGAGCAAATCAATACACCTGGATAAAAACAGCGGTATGCTAACACGTGATAATATCACATCAATATATAATTATTCTTAATTCCACCTGCAGAATGGAATGTTTATAACTATATATTCTTAGTTAACTAAGATTTCTTAATATGGAAATCTGACCGTGCTTTATCCAGTCATATATAATGCTATTAATACATTTTAATTAATTTAATTTAATTAAATGAAACCAGTATAATTACCAGTTGAGTAGATATTTCATCCGATTGGTAGTCTCAGGAACTTATTTGGATGTCTCTCTCTGCATGGAGGTTGGAGTCCCCAAACTTCCAATTCCTCTCTCCTCTTTTTCTTTGCATATCTCTTGGATCTGCCTCCATATCCTGCCTCTTCCCTTTGTCTTAACTTTTAAAGGGCCAGACTCTCTGTACGTCATCAGTTGATAACCCAATAGAAGCACTAGAGGTGTGGTTATCTTCCAGATCGCAAATTAGTTATTTGGTCTATAGAGGGCAGTCTTGTCCCACTAAACATACCTATCCAGGAAAGAGTTAACTTTTCCTGGTGGCTCGTCATTTTGCTTATCTCAAATGACCACTATAACTTCAAAGATCAAAGGGTTTCTTAAATTTTGTCCAGACTATGTGTCTGGCAAATCTGCTATAATTTCTGATATGACAGATCATGAACTAAGTTTACCCTTTTCCATACAATGGTACCTTATATATATAGACAGTTAAATTTTATTATTTAATCTTCTCTGTCACAATTGTCTGGGTTTAGATTTGATTATATTCTTCTTATCACTTGTTTATACTATGCTATGCATTCCTTAGCTCTGGCAAAGAGGCCAGTCTTACAGAAAGAAATCTAGTGTCTTCTTTGTTAACTTGAAATAACAAAATGGAGTCTGGTCTGTTCAGAGTGACTCAGAATATACACTTTTAGTTTCTATCATAGCACAAAATGTCTGCCGATATAAATACTCTGACAGTGGTCACTTCGTATAGTTGAACATGTGGCGGCGGCCATCTTGTTTAGTCGAACGCGGTCAGCAGTGTGTTGCCTTCGAGCTCCTGGAACTAAAATCGAATACACGACGGCACGAACACCGCTGAACCTTACCTTCTTTGCAACTTTGACACTTCAATGGAAATCGAAGTGCGTTCGAATATTCAAATGCCATATTAGCGTTGGATATTTGCATGAACGGCGCCCATTCGTGCATTTGAATGCAACATAGTATTTTAACTATGTGAAATAGACCAACCACACAGCCTAAATCTATGGAACTCTTTTGGGCAGGAAAGCCATGCTTGCAGTCGGTCAAATATGACTTCCAACTATCTTTCGAACCACTGGGCGAATTCATATGATTTTTGAATATGTTTGTTCACTGATTATGCTAGTTCAGAAAATATAACTTTTATGGAAATTGCATGTATAGGTTTGAAGTTATGAATATTGTGTAAAACTGTATATTTTCTGCCTGTGATAATTAGCTTAGCCCATTGTGTTCAGTAATTATATCACAGGCAGAGGGGAGGGTTTGTGTGCCTTGGCTTGGAGTGTCTGACTGTACCACAAGGTCCTCGTGGCTGGTAACCTTGTGGGAAAACCTGTATAAAAGAAAGTCCTGTGTGCTCATTAAACCAGTTCTACTTGACCCTCAACTCGCAGCCTTGACTCGTATTTGGAGGGGACAGCTATAATCACTACAGGGATTGCTATGCTCTTCATACTCCCTTAGCTTCACTTAAGTTCTTGTTCCTTATCCTGCTTCGCTCTCTGGAAGGAAGAGAGGTTCACCCACTGGAGCCTTGTCGTAGGTCAAGGGTGGGTAGGAGACGGCGAAACCCCAACCCAGCAGCGGCGGTTCGTGGGGTCTGCGGTGCTGACAGTGTTTCAGTGAGCGCTAGGAGCATCCTTTCTATGGTCCAACCCTCAGCTAGCTTGGGGCAACCGTAACACATTGGATAGGCATAAGGCTATCCTAACTATAAGATAAGGCCAGGGACGAATGAAAGTATTTAGAAAATTGGGCAGACTAGATGGGCTGAATGGTTCTTATCTGCCGT